ATTACTCCCAATTTGAAAATTAAAGAAACAGGAAATTCATATTATTAATTCCTTAAAAAAAATAAAATAGAGAGAGAGATAAAAATATTTTACATAAAACTGAAATAAGAAAATGAACTATTATATCTTTTTTAATATTAAAACTTTTCTCAGGAGCTTTGATTAATTATAAAATATCTTTCTCTTTCATTAAGTTTTATAAAATTTCCTGATTTTACTTTGTCTAACATGAATATATTAGAACACTTGATTATTTTCATTACTTTTCTGGCAGTTTTATTACTCTCTTTTTCATATTGTTTTTCTGAATAATAAGTCTCCTTTAGTTTTTGTACAATTTCTCTGTGGCGGAAGGTAGAACGGGGATGGTGGAAATGGAAATCCATATCTCTTCTCCTATTTCACCCATTTGTTTAAACTATTTTCCATTTTGAATAAGTCTTATTTACATATTCAACAAGAATAGCAGCATGAAATAAAATAGTTTATGAGATCACTAAGCTTTTTATTAAAGCACTTTATTAAAGTATATTTCTATAATATTGCACAGATCACAGCAGTTAACATCACTTTTGTTAAGAGACTCAACTTATACATGCAAATTTTTTTATGTATGGTTTGGAAATTGCTTACACATTAAACTTCTGGTTGTAATTGTACAACTCAGCACATTTATCATCCATGAACTCTTTTTCCACACAACACTGCAGTGTTTTCTACTTGGTAGTTTAAAGTTATTTTAAGTCAGATTCCACAATCTAAACGTGGGGAAACCAGTGTCAATACCAGGATTTGTAACTCAGTGTTACCACCCGTGGACCTGCTTCCATACCATACAATGCAAAATCTTTAAAACTCACTGCTGTCGAATTAATTCCAGCAACTAGCAACATTACTAGAAAGAGTGGAACTGCCTCATAAGATATCCAAGGCTGCAAATCTTTACAGAAAGCAGACTTCCACATCTTTCTCACACGGAGCAGCTTCAACCAAACTTTTGGTTAGCAGCTTAGTGCTTTAACCACTATGCTAGCAAGGCTGCTCTCCAAACATGCTTAGTAAGGTTTAGTTTTAATTTTAATAACACAAATATGAGAATGGAGTCCTGATGTGGCACTGTAGGATAAGCATTGGACTAGCAACCACAAGTTTGGTGATTCAAACTTACCAGCCTTTCCTCAGAAGCCCTCCACAGTGTTGCTTTGAGTTGTAACCAATTTGACAGCACTTAACAACAATGACAACAACCCTTCCATGCTACCAATCATCTGTCACATTGTCATATTCTGGCAGCTTGTATGTTCTGTGATATTGGAAGCCATGCCACAAATATTTTAAATACCAGCAGGATCACTCATGGTTGATAGAGTTGAGTGGAGCTTCCAGACTAAGACAGACTAAAAAGGAGAGGCAGATCACTTCAGAAAGATTGGCCACTGGGAATTTATGAATAAAGTGGAACATTGTTTGACATATAATGCCACAAGATGACCCCCTCAGATTGAAAGGCACTCAAAATATGATGAGAGAAGAACCGCCTCTTCAAAGTAGAATAAACCTTAATGACATAGATGGAGCAACGCTTTTTGGACTTTTGTTTGCTGATGGGGCACAACTCAAAATGAGAATAAACAGCTGCTAGGAGTCCTGGTGTGGCGCTGTGGGTTAATGTGCCAGACTGTAAAGCCGTTTGAACTGTAAGGTTCGCAGTTCAAGCTCAGCAGCTGCTCCTC